ACTGCTGGCCCTGATGCCCCCTGGGTTACACATTGCTCCCTCACCCACCTCCCCGGGACAGCGCCCCCTACTGGGTTACACATTAGGAACGCATGATGCTCTCCCTGTGGAACAGCACCCCCCTGCTGTGTGATGCCCCTCGCTCTGCCCAGTCACCCCCAGGTGTGAGTGGCCGTGCCAGCCTGCTATACTCCTATACGCTGTACTTGTTTATTAGAGTACCAGCTCTCCACCTCGGCCTCTCTCTCTCTCTCTCCTGCCATTTTTAATAGTTCATTCCTTTTTAAATTCTTTCTGCTCCCAGCTGAACAGGAGTGTTTTGCACCCATTTCACAATCACAGCATGGCGCTTAAATCTCCCAGTACGGATGCAGTGCGCTTCCTCAGACCTCTCTAAATCACTGCGGCGTGCTCCGTTTCCATGGCAGCTTGGGAAACTGTGCAACCGTTCACCACACTGCTGTTGTGCAAGGACTTCCTAATGACATGTGAAACTTCGGCCCTGGGCAGGATCACAGCACCCCCCCCCACCCCCCCATCATCAGGCAGACATGTTTTGTGTCCTTTTTTTTTGTTTGCATTTTAGTAATAATTGTGGAATATTTCCTGCAAATGAATCCTTTCATTGGGGAGACTAACAGTGAGCTTGTCTCTGCTATGTGCTTTATACAGAAACATGTTAGTGCTTATCGTGCCCCTTCTGAGAGACGTCAGTAGGGGGCATCACTTCACAACCCAGCAGTAAGCGGTGCCGTGCCCACCGCCCCTTCACAGCCCGGCTATAGGGGGCGCCATGCCCACTGCCCGGCAGTAAGCGCTCCTTTGGCCACTGTCCATCTCAGCCCGGCTATAGGGGGCGCCGTGCCCACTGCTCTTCACAACCCGGCTATAGGGGGCGCCATGCCCACTGGCCTTCACAGATGCGCAGTAGGGGGCCCCATGCCCACCGCCCTTTCCAGCCAGGCAGTAGGGGCTGCCGTGCCCACCACCCTTCGCGATCGTGCAGTAGGGGTCGCTGTTCCCATCGCTATTCACAGCCTGCCATATCTCATGTTCATCTGCAACTTTTCTTTTGACAGGTTGAAGCATTTCAAAGAGTGCATCACCTTCATCCACGAGAGCCGGCTGAGCGGAGGGGCCTGTCTGGTCCACTGGTGAGAATCTGCAGCTGCCTCTGTGGCCTGCATGACCCACAACCAGGGACACTGATACCCTGCACTCCCCTCCCCCTGCACATACAGCACACCCTCCACACCTACCTGGCAAATAGCGACAGTCTCCGTGCCTAAATCATCTTGCGATGGTTACCATGGAGATGATCCTGTGACCTCACAGTCCCAAATTGGGGCTTGTGGGTAATGAGTGACACTGGGGACACACCAGAGTGAAGTATGGGGCTGTATTAGTGGGTACAGAGAAGAGTGCAGGTTTAAGTTTTAGTTTTGAGTCACCCTGGATTAAACCAGTATAACAAGCAGCATTCCTGAGAATTGCACTGCAGCATGTTCAGCGCAGTTTTTAACATGTTAAAGCATGCCAAAGGCGCCCTGTGCGCTGCCTGATCCGCCGCCCTGCTCCCGGGCCGCAGCCTGGCCGGGGTCTCTCGCAGCACCACGCTGGTATTGGCCTACCTCATGACGGTGACCTCCTATGGCTGGGAGGACTGTCTGTCCGCCGTCAAGGCTGTGCGTTCCTTCGTCGGACCCAACTACGGCTTCCAGCAGCAGCTGCAGGAGTTCCAGAGGGGCCTGCTGTCTGAGGTACGGCACACACCCTCCACACCTACCTGGCAAATAGCGACAGTCTCCGTGCCTTAATCATCTTGCGATGGTTACCATGGAGATGATCCTGTGACCTCACAGTCCCAAATCTCCAACGAACTATGCCCTGTTTAGCTCCGCCCCTGAGCTATTCCACACCCCCCCAGATTCACCGCATCCAGCCATTCCCTGCCCACCCTCCAGCCAGTCTTTCTTCCCCCCAGGTGCACCCCATCTCCTGACAGCTGGATCCATTAATTGATCCCAAGGATAAATGATATAAGCAGAAATCTCAGATGTCAATCGTATTTGAGTAAACCTTATTATTTAAATGTTATTCTACAGATGGAGAACAGGGTGAAATCGTAGCTACACATATTGCACCATTATATTTAGTCAACTTGAATTGTTATCATCATAAAGCCATGCATTCGTGTGAAATCCCCACCACTGTGTTTGTGTACTGCAGCTTCTGTTTGTTTTGAAGCAATGTTTTTACAGAAGTTAAAGGCAGCCTGTTGACACATGGGTGTGACATGTGATAAGTGGAGAATTTGGGGGCCAGGGTGGGTCTGGGATGGGGGGGGGGGTGTTGTGCCATGGCTTCAGGCTGTCTAGGTACTTTTGCAGGTGTGATCTGCCTGGGGAATCCAACGGGATCACTGACGCTTGTGACCAAGTTTGTGGGAAAAGCCTCTGTTTCCTGCTGCGGTCTCACCAGCGGGGGTGGGGGGCACTCTCTGGTTCAAGAACCTCCTGTCTGCCACTGCGCTCTAACCAGTGCGGGGGAGGCACTATGCACCCCACCTCACTGCACCGTGGCTAAACCTGTGCATGGCTGCACATCCTGCGTTGAGGCCTTAGCGGCAGTGTCGCAGTTAGTGTGAGGTTTGTGTTTCCAGGCTGAAGGTATGCTGCAGTCCTGCTTTGTAAGGAATAGTCAGACACTGTAAGAAAAATGCAAATTAAGTGAGGAAGTGCTCATAGGAGGCACTTGAGAGAATTCCCGGAACTCTCAGTCGTTTTGTCAACTCATGACTAATGGCTTGTTGTGTCTGGCTGATTACTATCTTTTCTTATGCAGCAGGTCTTATACTGGAAACAGAAAATCGGTAAAGTCCTGCAGTGTTGAGCAACATCCCAAGCCGCTCTCCGCAGTGGCTTAATTATTTAGCCAATTCACCACGAGTTATGGTAGGAGCAGAAGTTGAGAGAAGTTGACGGGGTAACATCAGCCTGGGCTCTTCAAACCCGTGGCAGGATCTGTGCCTAAATCGGCGCAGCCCCACACTGATGGTTAATGAGCAGCTCGCTGCCACACTGATGGTTAATGAGCAGCTCGCTGGCACACTGATGGTTAATGAGCAGCTCACTGGCGCTTCTTCGTACATTTGAACAAAACTGCTTTGAATCCAACTGAACATACAGTTATCCACAGGAACTTATAGCAGAGAGAAGCGTTACCCTTCCTATGGTGTTCAGGTCGGCACCGACCCGTTTCTAAGTTTAAAATCCATAAAAGCACCACATAGAATTGTGTCAGGAAACCAAATCAAGGCAAGACATGCCCATATACAGTATGCCATAGTTTTTCTAACCCTAACCCTAGCCTGAGTTTGCTAACCCT